CGAAAAAATGAAAAAAATACACGGTAAGGGTCCACCAGTGTATACACATATAAACAACACAGCTATCCTCTGTTAGGCATACACATATATACAACACAGCTATCCTCTGTTAGGAATACACATAAATATACAACACAGCCATCCTGTGCTAGGCATACACATATATATACAACACAGCTATCCTCTGTTAGAAATACACATATATATATACAACACAGCTATCCTCTGTTAGGCATACACATTTATATACAACACAGCTATCCTCTGTCAGTCATTCTTGAGTCAAACGTATGTCAATATATCTAATTTATCCTCTGTTGAATTTCTGTGAGGCATGCATACATAGATACACAATGGCTATCCTCTTGATAGCATGATTTGTGCAGAAATAACTTAAATAACTTTTTCTTTGAGCTGAGTTCCAGTAAGCTCTGATGGCCATTCGAGAGTCCCCGAGAATTTCGTAACAGATGCCCAGGAGAGTGTCAACTATCCAGTACTTGTGCCCTCCTTGATTCTCGTCATACTGGACATCTACCATGTTACGTAATGCTGCATCACGTCCTCTGGTATCTCTAAGTTCATGACAGCAAAGGAATGACAGGAAAATAGCATACGGTAGTGGAGGGATATCTAGGAGTCTGTGTTCATTCGTCATTTCTAGGCAGAGGTGGGGAAGATACAAGTCTTTACAAGAAAGGGTAATGAAGTTTGTGTATATTTTCTGTAGTCTCTCTGATGTATGGCCTGCCGATTGACTATACTTGTGCCTAACTAGTTTTTCTCTCTCTTCTCTACCTACCTCGTGACCTATGAAACATGATGCCAGTTGCATGACTTGTTTGCACATCTCGAGGCTTTTAATGAAATTTCCTATCAGAAAATGAAAAGTTGCTAGATGTAACAGCTCTGTGCCCATTGAGGCCCCATGAATCATCCAGTTTTTACATTTCCTTAAACTTTTGTACTTGGTCTTGTTGTCCATAGCATAGTGATCTTGAGAGACCTGTTCTGCTGCAAGTCTTCGTAAGCAAATCACAGAATACTGGTATGTGAAAACTTCATCAAAATCTGACTGTGATTTTGATAATAAACAAATCGCCTTCCTTCTGATCCCTAGTGTTCCAGTTCCTGGTGTGATACCTATTCCTTTTATCGTTTGGGCAGTTTCTATATCCTGCCGAAAGATCATTTCCTGCTTTGTTTGGGGACATACAAGAGTTTCCCATATTGAGGGATTAACAATTTTAGTAATTGAAAGGCACATCCATTTCAGCTGACAAAAGGTTTTCAAAACATCCAATAGTATTTGTTGATGTTGTCCATGGACTTTCCTTCGGAACATGTTGTTGGCTGGGATGAAATAATTAGGACAGACTCCTGCCCTGACCCAAGCAATCAGTATGTTGAAACAAAACCAGAAACAATAAAATAAGTGTTTTTCTTGCCAGAACAGTTGTCTGGAGTTCTCTATCGCATGAAAAAGGATAGTTTTCAAAAAATAGGAACACAAGAAATCATCATCCCCTATGGTTTCTTTTAACATGCCTTTTATCTGTTTTAAGAAACATTTCAGCAAAGCATATACTTTAAGCTGAATGTGACTGAACGAGCGAAACTAAAGATCTCTCTGCTGTTGCAAATGAGATTCTCCATTGCAAGAAAGTATCTTAAGAACACTTGTCCCCAACAGGGACAAGATGACATCCACTGTGTACGATATTGTCGATTAATGTTTGACGTGGCCATCCATACAGACGTGTACGGGTAATCCATCCATTAGCTTCCTTTGGCCAACAGTTACATGGAAAGCTTTGAACGACATCTACTTGTTCACCCATCAAACTGCTGGGTCCATTGGATTTCCATGCTGAATATGAAAGGTTGTCCGTAAATTTACGGACAAATGACTCTCTAAAGATATCACTGGAAACAAAAAATGAATCCTTAATTCTAACTAGTGAATCACGCAATTCAATGGGACATTTCTGTCCTATCTGACCTAGTTGTAAGTGGACATATCCAGTTCGGCAATCTGCGTCTCTCATATACAGAATTGTATTGTTTGCCATACTTGGAGGGATAAACTGGCCAGGGTACATTACTGTTACAGTCGTTGCTATCGTCATCACGTCCGTATCTGATCCAATTAGACTCAATCCCTCTCCATGACTTCCTCCATAGAAGAGGTGGTAATTCAAATAACAGTCATTTTGTATACGTTCATTTAGAACCTCTGATCTCCTCCTGATATCCACCTCTTCCTGTGTCCCTGTAATCGTCCTGTCTAGGTGTGTTGACAGGGCAATAGACATCCACTCATTCTCTGTAGAATCCATTGCCTTTTTTCAGGATTCAATCTGAAATTTAAAAAAATACAGCTTGCTTTAGTTAGTGAACTGTATAACAACTTTAATTGAAAATTTAAACAAATATAAACATCAAATATCAGAAAAATAAGGCAAAGAAAAATATTCAACTTAACATCAGAAGTAAGCTAAATCATAGAAATTTTGTACATGGGTAGGTCAAAAGGTTAGAAAACCATAATGAATACATTTTTAGCTCACCTGGCACGAAGTGCCAAGTGAGCTTATGCCGTGGCGAGGCGTCCGTCGTCTGTCCGTCGTCCGTCTGTCCGTCCAGCGTCCGGCGTCAATATTTTACTTTAAACGACTTCTTCTTAATAACCGAAAGGCCTAGGGTGTCGATATTTGGCCAGTAGCATGCTGAGATGATGGGCTACCAAGTTTGTTCAAATGAATGACCTTCAATTATATTCAATGTCACAGGGGTCAATTGTCTTAAAAAAACCTTTAAACAACTTTTTCTGAATAACCAAAATGCCCAGGGTGATGATATTTGGCCTGTAGCATGCTGAGATGAAGGGCTACAAAGTTTGTTCAAATGAATGACCTTGACCAACTTTCAAGGTCACAGTGGTCAATATATGTTTAAATCTATAAATGATTTGTTCTGTATAACCAGAAGGTCCAGGGTAATGATATTTTGCTTTAAGCATGCTGGGTTGGAAGATAATGAACTCTGTTAAACCTAATGTCCTTGTTCGACATTCAAGGTCATGTGCGTCATATGTTTAAATTTTTAATAGGTTCTTATGAATCAAACACTGATATTCTGCCTGTAGTTGTATTTTAGTCCATCTTTAAGATTACAAGTGTGAGATTAATACCAGGTGAGCGATTCAGGCCCATTGGGCCTCTTGTTATTTTCATTTAAGCAAATCTATGAAGTTCATATTAGTTTTCAAACTTTCAATAACTCAAGTTTTCTATTCGAAAGTAATGATATTGATTTAATGTGTGACCTTGACACTGTTTAACCTTGACATAATTCCCCCAGCAGGTGCCCCTGTATTAAGTTCAGTGCCGGACCTTAAGAACCATCTGAGTGAGTCCAACAGCTCACTGACCAGTAGTACTTCGTCCATGGATCGGTCAGAAAAGGATGGCACTAAAAAACAGATACTGCACGCGACAAGAAAGGTGACAAAGGCCACACGCGGTAATTTGTATCAACATCAGTTTGGAAAAAGATAGGATTTATTAGCTCACCTGGCCCGAAGGGCCAAGTGAGCTTATGCCGTGGTGCGGTGTCCGTCGTCCTTCCGTCCGTCCGTCCGTCCGTCCGTCCATCAACTTTTCCTTTAAAACGCTACTTGTCCTGAACGGCACAGTAGATTTTGACCAAATTTGGTCAGAAGAATCTTTGGGGGAAGTGGAACAAATTTTGTATAATTGGTGCGTGTGGCCCCCCTGGGGGCTGAGGGTCGGGGCCCAATAGGGGAAATATAGCAAATTCTTTAAAATCCTTCTTCTTCTGTAGGAATGAAAGGATTTGTTTCATATTTGGTCAGATACATTCTTGGGGGAAGTGGTACAAATTTTGTATAAATGGTGGGTCTGGCCCCCCTGGGGGCTGAGAGGCAGGGCCCAATAGGGGAAATATAGCAAATTCTTTAAAATCCTTATTCTTCTGTAGGAATGAAAGGATTTGTTCCATATTAAGTCTGAATCATCCTTGGGAGAAAGGGAACCAATTTTGTATAAACCGTGGGTCTGGCCCCAGGGGCCTGAGGGGCGGGGCCCAATAGGAGAAACATAGCAAATTCTTTAAAATCCTTCTTCTTCTACAGGAATGAAAAGATTTGGTCCATATTTTGTGTGTAGTATCCTTGGGTGAAGGGGAATAAATTTTGTATAAACAATGGGTGTGGCCCCCCAGGGACCTGACGGGCGGGCCCAATAGGGAAAATCCTTCTTCGACCATAGGGATCAAGGGATTTTATTAGGTCACCTGAGACAAAGTCTCAAGTGACCTATTGCGATCGCCTTTTGTCTGTTGTCGTCCGTCGTCCGTCGTGCGGACGACAATTTACATTTTCGACTTCTTCTCCAAAACCCCTGAACTAATTTCATTGAAATTTTGCAGGGACCTTCCATGGACAAAGGTCAACAAAAAGAGTTGCCGGTTTAGTCCTACGCCCCCAGGGGCCTGAGGGGCGGGGCCAAAAAGGGTCGAATTGACTAAAATTTCAAAAATCTTCTCCTCAAGACCCAGATATGGTAGAATCAAATACTCTTCATAGATGGAAGGGTCTTAAGGGGCTTTACTGAAATTGTGAATTTCTTGACCCTGGGGTCTCACGTTTCCCCCTGGGGAGGGGGTAAACTTTACTATAATTAATATATAGGGAAATCACATTTTGGACCAACATTTCTTTAATTTCCA